ATACAAAACTGATCCTTCACTTCCTATCATCCATAAGGATGTTTTGGAATTTCATCTACGAATCTATTATGGCCAAGAAATGGGGGATGTGTTTTATACTAAAGAACAATACAAAACTGATCCTTCACTTCCTATCATCCATAAGGATGTTTTGGAATTTCATCTACGAATCTATTATGGCCAAGAAATGGGGGATGTGTTTTATACTAAAGAACAATACAAAACTGATCCCTCACTTTTTACTATTGCTTCTTTTGATTATCTATAAAGATTTTTAGTTATCGTATATACTCGCGTATCATGCAACTTTTGAAGACCTAATTTTGAAGCTAATTTAACTACAGTAAATGGATATATAGTTTGGTCAACGGCGAAGCCAGGTGCAACACTACATACGCTAATTTTAAATGTCGTGTATGATGTGACCCGCTTAAAATAGGTGCAAAATTATGTCTTCAAAAGTCGCATGACACGCGACTATATACGGTAAGTGAATGTCATGAACTCGCCTGTAATTCGGCTTTCCGATTCTTTAATCCGGGCTACTAGCCATTCCTCGAGCGCACCTCCTTAAAAGGTAAAGTTCTCTAAAATAAAGTTCTGTCGGTTCGAAAACATTTTTTAATAGAATTTTTTCTAATCATATCGCATAGATTTTTTTATGGTAAATTTAAAACGTTACATTTTATGTTTTTTAATTTAAAAAAAAAAAAATTCAGAGTTGTGAGGTATGAATATAAGTTGGCTGGTGTCATGGCGGTGATGGTGGGGATGAAAGCATTGTCGGGGAAGTATGGGGTTATCACATATTTTATTTGAAGCTAGAATTGTAACTAGAATTGACAGTAGTTTTTAAAAAACATTACACAACCAATAAAAAACGCTATAAAAATTACACATTTATATTTAAAGTTAATCTTTTTAAAAGTTTATCTATAATGTCCAAGATTCAGAAACTTCTTTTATATTTTTCATTCTTTCTTTCCCTTCAGGACCTCGACAGTCATGGCTCTCCACAATTTCCTGTCTTTTGTAGCTCTCAATAAATTTTGCCTTTTTGTTACCTCACCTAAACCTTGCTCCACCATCCATTTACACAACTGTTGCTTCGGCTTCTATGTGTCATGTCCCTTCAGGACGTTGGCGAATATGGTTCTCCACAATTTCCTGTCATTCGTAGCTCTTAATAAATCTTGTTCTGCCATTCATTTACTTAAGTTACTCAGTAGATTTTGCTTTTTTTATCTCTTTCCCTCTTGCTTTCAATCTGTCCTGTGAGTGTCAAATTTTCCAAGCCCTCTTTCCTCATTGTGTGCCCCAGAAATTTCAGCTCCCTCTTCCAGATGTTAAGGATCAGTGTCCTTATTGTTTCTATCTTCTTTACTTCAATTCTTTATTAAAATTAATTCAGTTTTCTTTTTAAATATCTTCTTTATATGTATATGTATATATATCGTATTTAAATATATATATATATTATTTAAATATATATATATATATATATTATATATATATGCAAACGGTATATATATATATATCTTATTTAAATATAAATATATATATCTTATATATATATATATATATATATATATATATATATATATATATATATATATATATAAGATATATATATATATATATATATATATATATATATATATATATATATATATATATATATATATATATAACATGGCACATATATATATATATATATATATATGCCGTGTGCCTTCAGTACGTTAGTGATGATGGCTCTCCACAACTTCCTCGCGTTTGTAGCTCTTAATAAATTTTGTATTTTTGTTATCTCTCCTAAACCTTGCTCCACCATCTATTTATTCAAGCTCACGAACTATGTTATACGTTGCTTTTGTCTCTGTTACTTTCAATCTGTCCTGTGAGTATCAGATTTTCAAAGCCGTTTTTCCTCATTAGGTGCTCCAGAAATTTCAACTGTCTCTTCCTAATGTTAACTATATGTTTCCTTTTTCTTTCCATTTTCTCTCAAACTTCGTCGTTGTACATATATTCAGTTCATAGTATCCTCAGCGTCCTTCTGTAGAACTATATTTATGTTTTTTTTTTGTAACATACGATAACCGTTAATAATTAAGTATAACTCAAGACTTCAATATTAAATAAAACAGTATTTAATTACAACTGCAAATAAATACTTAACAACAACAAAGAAGTAAAAGTCAAACAAAGATAATTAACCATTTCAGTGAATACCTTGTTAGTAGCTCGGCTCTGCTTAACGTCCAGTAAATCCTAAATCAGAACCAAAATCATCAACGCACAATAATTCACACTAATTCGACTGGATAGTTCCACTCAATAGTCACTCCAGTCAGTAGCCTGACACCGCTTTCTACTTCTGGCGGAAAACATATACTCATAAGTCCAGAGTGTCATGTTTGAACATCGTTGTCGGTAGATACTCATTTTCTTCCTATATGACATGTTTCAAGTCTCTTCTTCATCCGTGAGGAGATTGGCCTGAATTCTTTGTCATATAGAACGATTGATATCGCATAACAATTCAGTGCTCTTTTTTTTAATGTTTCTAATAAATTTCTTCTGTTTCTTAATACTTTGCTTAGCTTTTGGAAGGCATCTTTTACTATCCCAATGAACCTTCGCACGTTCCGTCTCTGCTAAAAGACTTCCCAGATATTTAAATTGTTGTACTCGTTTGATTTTGGTATCTCCAATTTGTGAATTCCATATTGGTCTGTTCCTTTGGTTAACATGCTGTCATCTTGCATTTGGTATTTAGTCATTCCTTCTCGATTTTCTTCACTATCTCTTGTATGATTTTTTCTACTTTCCTTTCAGCGTCTGCGACCAACACGATGTAACCTGTATATCTTATGTTGTTAAGATTGTGACTGCCAATAATGAATCCTGTTAGGACATCTGATTCTCTCAGAATCGCCTAGCTGTATAGTTTGATGAAGTCCGGTGAGAAGGCATATCCTTGTCTTACACCCCTTTCTATTTTTGTATATCTACTGAACTGATATTCTGTCTGTATGCAGGTGGTTTGATGCAGTATAGGTTCTGGGTTATTTTAATATCCTTCTAAAATTTCTCAGAGTTACTAAGCAGTTTCAACAGTTCTCTGTAGAGTACTATATCAAACGCTTTTACATAATCTATAAAACACAAATACACATATTATTTAAATTGGCAACAAGGCCTTACCAATTTATTTTGATCACAGCCCTAGAGAAAATATCTAGTAATCAATGCTGATATTTTATCCGTTGTTATATTTTGAAAATCTTCCAAATATTATAAATTATAAATTGTTATCGGTCCTGACCTGGCATCTCGGCTTCAGTCACTTTCTTACCGCCGTAACGTTGCTCTTATGTGACTTTTCTATAGATACATCCATGGTGCTTGTTCTGATGAGCTTTCCACCTTGGTACCTAGACTTTATGAATTTAAGCGCAGTACTGGATTGGTAACAAGGTCTCACCAATTTACCGTCAAGTTGGCTAGATGTAACCGTAAGTTCTATGCTAACAGTTTCTTCTCTCACATTCCTCGCTTGTGGAACTCTCTTTCGGCTACATGCTTTCCAGCCAACTTCGATCTTTAAAAATGTATAATCGATATCAATCGTTATCTAGTGTCTTTCTGATTAATCTTCTATTGTACGCGGTCCTTAAAAATGTTTCTGTTTTCTAATTCTTTCACATACAGAAGCAACTCTCTGTGTCTTAGTGACTTTATTTCCTTGAATGGGGTGAAATAGATTTTAAAAAATACAACATACCTTGTATAAAATAAATGTCTACAAAAATATTAAAATATATCAGAATGAATTAATTAGAAGGTTATCAGTTTCCGCCATACGCAAATCGCCCAAAGAAACGACAGCTCAGAATAACGGATCAAAGGAATGGAAATTGACTTTCACAACGCCGGGTATTAGTACCAGTGAGATATAAAGGCATTAGGCTGAGTCATAAGTAATTTCCATTTTTTGGAATCAATTCTAATGGCGAATGTATAATTCTAAATACTAATCAGGCACCGAAATTAAGAAGAATTCTTGACTATACTAACATACGAGAATTTCCAATGCAAAATGCAATAAATCTTTATATCGAGTTTACCTAAAACGTTCCAATATTTCTTTGTGACGTAATTTATCAAATGCTTTTGTATAATCAATAAAACATAGGTATATGTCCTTCTGCATTTGTATTGATTTTTCTGATAACATTCTGAGCATAAATATTGCCTTCCTTGTTCCAGTGTTTTTAATGAACCCACACTGATCTTGTCCTATTGCCGGCCAAATTCCGCTGCGTGTTCTATTCATCAGAATTCGGATGATAAGTTTTGTAATATGGCTCATTAGGCTGAGTGTTCGATGGAGTTCACATTCGTTTGCACCTGTCTTAGGCAGTGCAGTGGAAATGGTTTATTTTATATAGAATTCTAGACTATACTAACATACAAGAATTTCCAATGCAAAATGCAATAAATCTTTATATCAAGTTTACCTAAAAAGTGCCAATATTTCTTTGTGACGTAATTCATCAAATGCTTTTGTATAATCTATAAAACATGGGTATATATCCTTCTGCATTTGTAGTGAATATAAAGAATCCGACGGGAACTGGATCTCTGGCTCTCAGATTTCATATTCCAAGCCGTTGTCCATTACACCACCCGTTTATCCCATTTTTTTTATCTAAAAACTCATTGTTTTTTCGCCTCAATATACCGTTTAAATGCTTCGACTACTTCTTCAGAGAATCTTCTATTGTACATCGATTGATTTATCTTTACAATATATCAACCTTTTGCAAGTTATTTAACGCCAGAAAATATTCTTAGATTGTCAGAATATTTTGGAGATAATAATGATTTACTGATAAATATTCTACTAATTAACTCATAGCTAGAGGAGAAGAGGTGGATCCATACCTTCCCCAGTGGTCTTTCACGTAAGTGCATATACCAGCACATCCAAGCTTACAGCATCTAATATTCTTAAGTGGTCCCCCATCAAGTTACTGAGCAGGCTCGATGTTGCTTAACTTTGGTGATCGTACGCGAACCGGTGTTTCAATGTGATATGGCCGTAAGATATTGCGCATGAAAGCTTAAAATGTTCAGATAAGTGACAATCTGTGGGGGAGATGTTTAATTTATAAGGGAATAACTTCGAAGTCGAATAACCAAAGCCGGGGAACCTTTTAATGGTTGCTCGTGAAGTCTGGGGGCATGAATTGTGATGGAGTAGAATTGGCCCACCTCTGTTCGGGCTGCTTTTTTGTTTTTGTTTTAGGTGCGAGATGTTTCTAGTTATACTGAAAGTTTCCTGCCTGTTGTTTTTGGATTATGTCAGAACAATGCATTCAATTGGTTGCTTTTGATGGTGGATTTTGGTCTTCCTCTTTGTTCATTGTCAATGCTCTCATGCCCAGAAAAGATTTTCCGAAAGCCATCTCTGTATAATTCTGACATTAAGCAATATTACTGCCAAATGCCAAGCTGATCTTTCACTGAGTTTTTGTTACACTGTGACCCAGTTTCAACTCATCGAATATGACCTGTCGACATTGTTTAGCTGCTATCATTTTCTTGAGGTTTACGGCCATATCCCGTTGAAACACGGATGTTCGTTGGATCACCGAAGTTAAGCAACGTTGAGCCTAGATTGGTGACCGCTCAGGAATACCAGATGCTTTAAGCTTAAAAATGCGGGGATAAGAAAGCCGAGACCCGTATTCCCATACCAGGTGATTTTCGTTATATTAAGTGTATCTTTTTAAACAAGTTCACCCCGAGTAAGGCGATAATGCCACTAAAACACAAGGGGTTACTAGGAATGAAAGAAAATGAAAAGACCTTAGTAGAAAGAACCTGAAACCCAACCCTAAACAGCAAGAAATAGCTAAACTTCTATTCCTGTTCAAAGGACGGGAAAGGAGGATGAACCAGAAATGTATAAAGCAATAGTTCTCAACCAGGGGTCCATATGGACAATGGGTCATCTATGTAACATTACTGGGATCCACAAAAAAAAAAAAAAAGGGAAGAAGCATTATATATGGAAAACAAATGACACTGCTAAAAGATATCCACTACTTTGTGAAAAAGCACAGCTCTATGTGCCTTTCCTGGTTGTGAGCATTCATCTTAAATACTGCTCGTCCAGGGTATGACGATAAACTACATCCGGCAGCAAGGCAGGAGACTGGAGATTTCTGAGGAGCGTGGAATCACATCTTAATTGCTGTTGTTCCCATGTCCATTCTAACCCGGCGTGATATCAACTTCTCAGCTCCCAGCGATGAGAAAATAGTTAACTCCCAAAGAAAAAATAAAACATGATGAAAGTATAAAAATACATTTTTATTGTAAAAATACTGGCAATACATTTTTATGTAAAAAAATTACCAACAATACATTTTAATTTGTAGTTGAAGCCATAAACTTATGTTCAAATTACTGAGATTTCAGCATTAAATAACCCATCGAGGTATTGATATAAACGAAATCAATGGAAATATATTCAGATATACCAACAATACATTTTATAGAAAAATGGCCAACAATACGTTTTATATTTAGTTGAAGTCATAAAATTGTTTTCAAAATATTTAGATTTCGGCATTAAATAATCCATAGAGATGTTGATAGGCCGCTAAAAATATCAACCAACCAAACCAATCAATATATTAAGATTTCGGCATTAAATAACCCATAGAGGTGTTGATAGGCCGCTAAAACTATCAACCAACCAAACCAATCAATGTATTAAGATTTCGGCATTAAATAACCCATAGAGGTGTTGATAGGCCACTGAAAATATCAACCAACCAAACCAATCAATATATTTAGATTTCAGCATTAAATAACCCATAGAAGTGTTGATATACCGCTAAACAAAATCAGCCAAAATATATTAAGATATACCAACCATATATTTTATAGTAAAATGACCAACAATACATTTTATATGTAGTTGAAGGCATTTAATTGCGTTCAAAATTTATTTAGTTGAAGCCATAAAATTGTGTTCAAAATATTTAGATTTCGGTATTAAGTAACCCATAGAGGTGTTGATATGCCGCTAAACAAAATCAACTAAACTTAAACACTGATCTCTCGTAATGAATCGAAATATGCAACTATCTCGACCACAACACAGGGTTGTCATTATCTTTCTTTACATGTACCAATGTTCATCGATTTAACAAAAACAATATTTTCATTAAGGCTACCAGGTGATCGAGAACTGGCATTTGTTAGTTATTTAGGGCGGCCATTGTTATATTTAGAACGAGAATAAAGTGAACGATTATGGACAAATAAAAAAAAAGTAGCATAAAGGATAAAATTGAATGGAATGTCGATGGAAAGAAGAGATTAAAAAGAAGGGGAAAGTTTAAGTGGTGATTGTTAAATACATTCAGTGGGTTAGTCTCATTTGGAATCAGCCACATGCGAGCAGAGGAATGAAAAAGCGAGCGTCTTTCTAGCTGCACATTCAAATGGACGACAGGCGTTCGTTTTAGAATGTTGAGCTTAATTGAGAGAGAGAGAGAGAGAGAGAGAGAGAGAGAGAGAGAGATTGATTACGGTCAGCAGATGGAAGGGAGAAATGGTTGCGAAAGATGACCGGGTTCTTGGAAGATGAAATGCAAAAGACAGAAAGAAAGAATAGGATTTTATAATGGGGTAGAAGCAATAAGAAAGAAAGAAAGAAAGAAAGAAAGAAAGAAAGAAAGAAAGAAAGAAAGAACAACATCAAAGAAGAAGAAACAAATTATAATAGTAGAATAGTAAAAGAACATAGGAATAAGAAAGAAAGAAAGAAAGAATGAAAAGAATGGGATTATATGATGAGGTAGAAGTAGAAAGAAGTAAAGAAAGAAAATATGAAACTGAAGAAAGAAAGAAAGAAAGAAAGAAAATATGAAACTAAAGAAAAGGAAAGAAAGAAAGAAAGAAATAAAGAAAGAAAGAAAGAAAAAAATAAACAAACAAACGAACAAACATACAAACAAAAGAGATTGTTATAACCGGGTAGAAAAAAACTAGTTAGAAATAAAGAAAGGAAGATACAAACAAGCACAAAAAAGAAAGAAAGAAAGAAAGAAAGAAATGGTAGAAGAATGAAAGATAAATAATGAAAGGGAGAAAATAAGAAAGAAAGAACGAAAGAAGAAAGAAAGAAAGAAAGAAAGAAAGGAAATGATAAAAAAAGAAAGAAAAGAAATATAAAAATGAAAGAGAAAATAAAAAGAAAGAAAGGAGAATGATAAAAGAAAAGAAAGAAAGATAAATAATGAAAGGGAAAAAATAAGAAAGAGGGGAATGATATAAACAAACATAAAGAAAGAAAGAAAGAAAGAAAGAAAGAAAGAAGAAAGAAAGAAAGAAAGAAACAAAAGAGATTGTTATTACCGGGTAGAAAAAAACTAGTTAGAAATAAAGAAAGGAAGATACAAACAAACACAAGAAAGAAAGAAAGAAAGAAAGAAAGAAAGAAAGAAAGAAAGGAAAGAAGAAGACAAAGAAGAAAAATAAATAAATTAGATTATAGTATTGAGACAGTAAAAGTACACAGGAAGAAAGAAAGAAAGAAAGAAAGAAAGAAAGAAAGAAAGAAAGAAAGAAAGAAAGAAAGAAAGAGCCTGGAAGGAAAGAAAGAAAGAAAGAAAGAAAGAAAGAAAGAAAGAAAGAAAGAAAGACGAAACAAAGTAAGATTATTATATTTTTATTGGAAAAGTAACCAAGAAAAAGAAAAGGAAAACCGACAAAAGGGTTTATTAAAACCCTGGTAGTAAAAACTAATTAGAATTAACAGAGAAAGGAAGATACAAACAAACATAAAGAAAGAAAGAAAAAAGAAAGAAAGAACTACAAAGAAGAAAAATAAATGAGTTTACAATAATGAGATAGAAAAGAAAGAAAGAAAGAAAGAAAGAGGAGAAGTAGAAGAAGAAACAAAATAAGATTATTATATTTTTTGTAGGAAAAGTAACCAGGAAAAAGAAAGTAAGAAAGAACGAATGAGGAAAAGAAAGAAAGAAAGAAAGAAAGAAAGAAAGAAAGAAAGAAAGAAAGAAAAAACACGTAAACAAGACGTGAAAATAAGAAATAAATGATTGGGAGGTAAATTAATAAATTCGATTGAATTGTGATGGATTAGAACATATTCTAATCATGGCTTTAATCTTCTAGAAATGTTAAAAGCCATGGCTCCCTGGATAGTTGTGAGTTGAATCCCTGGGAATTGAAAAGTCAAAGGAAGAAGCAGACAATCGGAATATCCACCCAAATTGGACTGAATAAAGTGTCTGTTTAGAAAACTTCCAAGACGGTTACTGGATACCACACAGACACACGAAGAAGCAAAAAATTCCAAAAAGTTCTCAGTGTAACAACCAAGGACATCACGGTGTGCCAGACTAAAAAGGCATATAATGATGAGAAATCCTTACCTCAGAAACTCCGTCAACGGAGCATATTCTTATGAATAGAAATAATGTCTACACGTTCCAACGATTTTTTGAACATCGGAAAAAAAACAGCAGTTGTTATTTGTTTATTTATCATTAAATAAAAAAATTCGTTTAGCTCATCTATGACTGCCTAAACGTTTCACAATGTTAACGCTCCACAAGGTCAGATAATATTGTATTATTGAGTATATATTTATATAAACGATCAGGATCAATGGGTAAAAATGGCCCAGAGTAAGTGAAAACTATAGATCTTGGCGAAGCCCATTCTTTTTCGAATATTATGGACTACCAACGGGGTCAGAACGGCGATGTCCTTGATTCCGAGGCTTTCCTCGAAAATCAGGGAGATTTTATTGAATGAACAATTTTTCGAGTTTCTTAATATTAGCACAGTCTTTGTTGAATACTAAATTTTCTATTAAATGTTTGCTTTTATTTAATTGTTTTAATAGTAAGTTTGATCGGTTCGATAAAGTGAAATTGGCAGCTAATGTCAGACATAAGCTACATCCTGTTGTAAACTAGGGGAGGAATAGCTTGTTAATTTTAACGCCTAAAAACGAAACTCTGTTAATCGTATGGAAGATAACTTTCTGCCTTCCATC